ATTATATACGGTATTTTTAACATTTTGAACAAAAGGTTTGTTAACACCTTAATTCAAGGACAAATCCTCAGGTCAGGTTAATTTATTTATGGCTGGGTTATATTCAGTAGAAATTAGTTTTTGTCCAACCTTCCTCCAAATTATGGAAACCTACTTTCATTTTTGCATCCTTGTCCTTATTTCATTTTAAGTTTTACACGTTATCTCTATTCATTTTGCAAACAGATAAACCCAATGCTAATCTTTCTGGAAACCCAGCATACTACACAGACTGGGACACAAAATACCCAAAATCCTCATATCATGATGGGACCAACACATCACGGAGGTTTACAAGGCAAGATACAACATTTGTGAATTTCCAAACGACAAGTTTGAATGCTAGAGAAAATCCAGCAGAGACGGTCCAGTCAGAGAACAAATTACCGAAATAAAACGCTTCCATCAAAAAATTATATTAAAAACAAAAAGACATTTATGACTGGAAATTTGGTTACTGTTAAAACCTTTAGATGATGACGAATTGAGTTTTTTTTACAAAGTACATGTAAAAATAACTTTAAAAAAATATATTAAAATTTCTTAAAATTTTTGCTTTTTTTTTTTATACTTCTAATGTAAATGAAAGAACTGAGGACGATAATATTGTTCTGCCGCCTACCTCCAAGTCAAATTTCAAAAGTTAATATATATTTGACTGGTCGTTTATTTATGTGAATTTTCATTAAACATAGCTTATTTGGGAAAACAAAGAGAGATAACTCTTTAATTTTAAAAATTGCGTTTTTCACTATAATAGAAATCAACGGAATACTGAATATATCCCCCCCCCCGACGTAATGGGTTTTATGACGTGTTAATTCACGAATACCAAAGCTTTTGTTGTTACACTTGGGGAGACTTATGTTTACAGAAAAAAAAACTGTCATTTTATTATCAATTTCAAATGAGATTACAAATCAAATAAAGTCTTTTATTAATCTTTTATGTTGAATTTTATGTAATGAAAATAATATGAAAATAACGAACAGTTTTCAGTTAAACATATGGAAAGTTTTAAGGGTCGTTTATCCATTTCCATGCGTTTTTGAAAAATTCAATTGCGCTTTTTGCTTTATTAATTTATAATTCTAAATACAATCTGTGTATCAACAACAACATTTACTATTTAATAACTGGCCTGTTAACAAGATATCAAGTTTAACTAAAGATGCCATTAAAATAATAGTTCACCATGATTGGAAATTCAGTGGAACATAAACTACTGAGAATTGAAAATACGATGTTATTCCAAGAAAACTATATAACTTGTGAAAAGAGGTATCTATTATTCTGATTAAAAACATGCATGACAAGTTAAAATTATCGTATACGAGGTCGTTCATTTAATTATGCAAAAGGTCATTTTAAAATAAGAAAAGTACAAAAAGCAGATTTTTTCATATTTTCAATCCTTCACCGCATCCCCTGTTACATGTACCCTTTAGACATGTCTGAAGTCTTTGTACCCATGGTCAGAAAACCTCAGCATACTCATCTTGCGGGATGCTCCAAAGACGAAGATAATTGACACTTCCCATGACATATCTGAAATTGTACAGTCTTCCTTTGATTATTTTCATGCTTTTTTTTGGAGTAAAAAGTTCTCTCAATGACTGAGATCTAGCAAATATGGGGGTGACAAAGCTCTGTAAAGTTTGCTTTCTTCCAAATTTCATTCTTATTGCTCTGTTTATTTTGCAGCAGCCTTGTCAACTACAGAAAAATTGCCTTGGAAACGGGTATTTAGACTTCCTTTGCAGGGAATATGCTTAACTTTTCTTAGTGCAATATTTAGCTTAAGGACAGATAATACAAACAAATGTTTGTCGAAAATCTTTAAAATAACAATCTAAGTCATGTATATATAATTAAAAAGAATACGTTCAACCGCATAAACTTTGATTCTTTATTCGAAGTTTCACAATAATATAATTAAAGGTGAGAATATGTTGTATATATTAATAAGGATTGTTACAGACAGATAGAATTTTGAACATCATTGCAAGTCTACAATTTCTTAATACTTTAGAAATTTATAATTTGCATAATTTACAATCAAAATAGGTCCAAAAATATATACCATTCCAGGCATTCATTTATTTATTTTTTTTTGAATCATATGTCCTTAAAGTTACCATTGATGGTCCTTTCTTTGGGTGAATGTACATGTTTTACTGGACCTCTTGAAAAGTAAGAAACTAAAAAGCATGTCTGAAGCCCTTGCTTCTCTTTACAATGATAGGACGACATCTTTCTCTCTGATTACCGATTTGATTATTGATCCTTTTCGGCTTTAAAAAGTGCACCCATGTTTCGTCATCCATCAAGTAAGCTTATTAAATTTATTTTTTGTAAAAATATTTGTTTTTAATTAGACATTAGAGATGTTAAGCATTTGACCGTGTGCGTCTACGTGTACGTGTAAACCTATAAGTGTTTTTACAAGTACACGTAACTAACATCGTGTTCTGTTTAACAATCTGTACGTGTAGCGGTACGTGTAAAACGTCATTTCAACAAGTCACTTTACAATCCATTTGTATCAAATAATTCTATGACTTTGATTAAAAAAGATACACGGATGTACGTAATAAACTCTCAATATCACAACAAACACCGCCTGAAAAATACACATTTTTAATTTGGGTTTAAGAAGCTACATGTTCTTCCCTATGTGTACATATGAATCTACACGTTGTGAACAACTTGTAGAATTACGCGCTATGCAAAACTGATGACGTAAATCGCAGTAAATTAGGGGATTTCCCTAGCTACACGTTACACATAGACGTACACGGTCATCTGCTTAACCTCTCTATTAGCATTTTTTAACGCATTTTCTCTTAGTAATTTGTAAGGAAATAACCCTCACAAAAGTTATAGTTAACTATAGTTTACTATAGTATCAAAGTTTTTTCACTATAGTAAATCAAAGTATTTTTACTATGGATCTCAGATCGTTATATTCTTTTATTCAATTCATACCTACACATTTTTTATATTAAATTGAAATATTATTTGTATATTCACACATTATTTCCAAATTTTACATTACTGTTATCGAATTTTAGAGACTTTAGGCTTTGAAATCTCCAAAAAGTTTTAGAGTAAATTTTCATAGTATATCAAAGTTTCAAAGTTTTCGCTATAGTTAACTATGGTAAATTTTTGTTAGGGAATGCACCTTTCTGATAAAAATATTATTATATTCATCTCCTTTGTCAGAACACTATAAACTCCTGTGATGATGAATTGTTTACTGTCTTAGCAATGCCTGTCAATGTAAAATCTGGCATTTTCAGATAGCCTGCTGCTCACAGCATCGAAATTTTTGGTGTCCCTACAGATTTCGATGGAAAAGTTTGCTATATTTTAACTCTCTTTTTTAATGTTTGAATTAAAATTTTCTGAATCCATCTGAAAGCTAGTTTTTTTTCCATATGAAAATCATATCTTTAATATAAATTCTTCGGTGATTTATGTCATGAAGCACACTTTTCACATATGATCTCGTTTTCATCTTCTTGGCAGAGATCATTTATAATAAGTTTTTAACTCAGTGTAGTGATCATGCTTACTTTAAAAGTGAATTTCTCTTGTGAGTACAATAGGGAAAATCATGGGGTTTTCTGTGTTCTTTGATAGAATGTTCAACTGTGAAAAAAAATTAAATAAATACTTCTGCACTTATAATGATAAAATGTATATTGCATTATTTATTGAACGAACCTCTTATACAGTAGCATACTAGGAATTCGTTTCCCATATGTTTGTATACGGCAAAAGAACACCTGTTTGAAATTATCAATTTTTAAGGAGGCTCATTACACCACTTTTTGATGACGCACTACACAGAAAAATAAACCTCCATTGTTTCGTCCGTTTTCTTCTGGGGACTAATTGCACAGATTCACTTTGCTGATGATCTAAATCTTTAAAACGCTCTAAAAATAGACTACATGCGATGTTGAAAACAATGGGAACTTTGTAACGGATTCATAAATAAATCACGGACGAAGAAGGGTTACTTTCAAGTAGAGACCAAGGAGAATGACAGTCAAATCTTTCCTACCCAAGTAGTGTACAATGTCATAGCGAAAGCAGCAAGTTCTACCCTGACAACATGTATGTATAGAGGAAATTCGAGTTGAAATCGACAACTTTGTTGAAATAAATTATAATTGACTTGCGCTTTTAGAGAACTGTACTCTTGTTGGTTTGTGTGCTTGTCTCTATATCTTTGAAAAATGTATATTTATTCTAGAAATTTTAGCTTATTCTAAATCTGATATGTTCAACCGTTCCTGAGTGTTTTGAGTCAGGGGGGTTTAGGAAAGATAACTCTTGCAAGTGGACTTTTTATTAAAATTATTTTATAAATTGGAATTTTCATTTCCTTAATAGATTTTTCATTCAATTTTTCACTTGTTATTCATTAATATATATTTCTTGTCTATTTGCAACTGATTTTCCAAATTATTCATGCAAAGATTAAAAAGAAAATCAGATAAATTCTGTTTTAGGAGAAAATTATTTTTTTCTATAAAAAATAATATTGAATATTATGAAGTGTTGTTATATTTCTTACATATCTGAAGATGATATCCTTCACTTGACACTTAGATTTCTGCAATACTATTAATCAGAAACTTGAAATAAAACATTTTACCAAAATCAGAAAAAAGATTAATAATCTTTAAAAATATTTATTGTATCATAACCTCCATTTGAATATTTGAAATCTTCATAAAAAGTGGTGCTGTTATGAAATCTAAAATAAACTGTGGATGTAATGAGCCTCCTTAAAAACATATTTAATTTAGTTGGATTGTTGATATACGGAGACTAGGTCACATACATGTACCTTTAAATGGTATCATTTCCTTTATATCTAATATTAGCGATCTACTAAACATGTTCCCTGTCATGCGCTGTTTGTCGCTCTTACCAAATTAAAGATGGCGTTCAAGTCTTGCCACCTGAGTTTACTTGGTGTGTTTGCCAGCAGTGTGCTTTTGGGTAAGACTACTTTTCTAAGGCACATTCTATAAATTATAAATGATTATCCATGAAAAAAAAACTTTAATCGTTTAAATTGCGTAAAAATTCATCAAGTCAAACCTGTTGTTTTTCCCATAATAAATCTAGAAAGTAATAGATTTGAACCATCAATATGCATTCCCTCTTTTCGGGATTGTGGCTTCTTTGTGTTTAAAAACCACAATATTGTAAAATATAATTATTCCGAAACTTGCAACTTATTAAAAGAATTTAAAAGGAACAGGTGTATTGAATAGAATTATACTAAATAGCTATGATCAATAATAGGAGGAGAGGCTCTGACGAGAAAAATATCAAAAATTAAAAAAAAAAAAAAAGAAAACAAAAGTTACGACCAAAAAAGGTAAAAAAAAAACATATTTAAAAAAGGAAGAACCTCTACTAAAAATATCTTCCCACTCTTATCTTCAATGAAATTTTTATTTTCGATCACTCTGCAACATTAAGAGGGCGGGATGCTGCCGGTCTTTGCACGAAAATTTCTTTTAAAAATAGGTAGTAAATTGCTTTTCCGAGACAAGAAGTTGCAACCTCCAGCCCCCGTTTATTACAGGCCTAGAAGAAGACTGCCTTTTAGGTATTTTTGCAAGTTGTTATAGATTAATGTAATCAAACGAACAAAAACAGGTGTTTCAATATGGCTTTTAAATGCGCCTTGACTAAATGAATAACAATATTGTATCCAAACACACCTAACAAGACAATTGAAATGTGAAAACTGAAAGTATTTTTGTAGCTCGCCATCTTGCACAAAAGTTCAATATTAAAGGGAAATACCCTTACAAGTTCATATTGCGTCTTCATTTTGTCTTAATTTCGTTCATGTGTAATGCATTTGTCTCTGGAATGTGGGCGCCTAGAGATGAGATTTAAATTTTCTTTTGAAAATTTACACGTCTGAATTTCAATTTGGAATCGTGATTCTTTATTAAAGCATAGATCTAAAGCAAGTTAATGGTTGAAATACCTCTTTAGTATGTGCACAACCATTGTCTTATTTGTACCTGTGTTATGTAATGTCCTGGGTAAGAGAGCGTGATGTTTGGTGTGCGTTGAGATGATATATAAAACTCTACGTAATGAAAAGGACTCTTTCTTTTCAAGTTCGATGTTATTTAAGGAGGGATTTTTGTCTAGTTTACAGGTGATTTTTAAAATTTTCAATTGGCTGAAATGTCTTATATTTAGATGTTAGGAATTTAAAAGATCATACTTTTCTTTCTTCTCACAATTTTAAATATAATTGGTTGAAATCTAGCAGGACCTATATTTATGGCGGAGCGGCGGCTTATTGAAATAACTCATTTTCTGCTTGTCAAACTTACTACAAAGTAATGAATTTATAATTGTATATATTGAAAAGTGAATCACTAAAGAAAACATTGCTTCGTATGCAATATCGACATATAATAATGTAAGATTATATCAGTGATTAGACATGACTGAATTCTATTTTTTTTTCAGATGTTGTGGAAGCCCGCCTTTGTTACTTTTACAACTACTATTATCGGAGCTACGACATCTACTACTGCTCATACTATTTGTACGCAAGTCATAGCCATGTTCTATATATATATCAACAAACATGTCAACTTTAATGGTTTACAAAGAGAAAAAAAACGCATCTTAATTAGAATTCCCAGGACTATTTGATAAGGTTACTCATTTGTAAGAAACCCTTGTTATGCTTTTCATTATACTCTAAAACTTCAAGGACCAATAACCAAATCTTGTTCAGAGTATCTACAAAAAGAACGCTATATTAAACAAAATAAGAGATCAATAGCTAAAAAGACTAGTGGTTATTTCGAAAGGTGAACACACTTTAAGCTCGCCCCTAAAAAAATAGTAAAAATATATACAAAAATACGGTTCACTAAAGTGGAAAAAGTATAAACGGTGTAAATACTATCAATCGAACATAAAAAAAACTATAGTAAAAAGTGTGATACTCTAAATAACTATGAAAGAAGACTTTCCTACTTTGATTAAATATATTTTAAGCCTTGATGCAACATTATGAATCATTATACCCTACACTAGCAAGAAATCTAATATTATGTTTCATTCACCTAACACGGAGTTTAGTAAGGAATAAATATATATATTTTGATAATCTAGTATACTACATGTATAGTATAAACTATGGGACATTTTACTCAAAATGATCAAAACTTTGACACTTTTACTTATCATGATTTAAATTTTAAAATTTTACTTAGAATGATTAAAAAACTTTTATACTCTTTTACTGCATTAAAAACTACTTTGATTTACTTTAGTGAATACCATTGAACATTGATTATTCGATTTGCTATAATTAAAAGTTTACTATAGTATACTTTAATAATATCGTTAATTACTATTTCAGCATAGTATATCCAAATAATAACACTATTATAAATGTAATGCTGAAAGCTGTGTATACATACGAAAAAAAAATCAATATAAAACATGTACGTAGACTTAAATTCTTTTTTTCATTTTAACATTCTTTAATCAAGCATTATATCAGATAGCGATATCATAATTTCTTTCGAAGAACATTGATCACACCGATATATTTCTGTATCAAATATGGAGATAGCGAACAGTAATCAAACTCAAAGTCCATAGAAAAAATACAAATGAGGGGCAGAGCAAACAAGGACCAATTAAAACATCAGATGTGGGATAAAGTGCCATGGAGGAGTAAGCATCCCCTGCTGACTGGTCACGCCCGCCGTGTGCTCCTTGTCATGATCGGGAAACCGGAAAGATCCGTAGACAATTCAAATTAAAAAAAATCTTACTTAGAACATGCCAAAATTGTATACAATTAGTAACGTGTCAGTTTTGTTACGTTGCAATTTTTATCATTGATTAATTTGAATATTTCTTGCAGAATTTTTTATTTTTATTTTTTCAATGATATCAGTCTTTTAGAAATGATATTCATTTATTTTTTTGTTTTGTGTCAAATGTACAAAAACTACATCTATATACCTGAAAATACATGCCTTAATTTATCCGTGTTTTTGCCGTAATCAGTACTGCATATGGGACGGACGCTTTGGGCATCATGAGTTCGATCGTGAGATCGATCCCCAGCGAAAGTGCTAACACATTTCTGACTGCCATGCACTATTTCGGCATAATGTGCTTACGCTATATATATTAGTTGGCTATTGATAATATACAGACAGCACAAGGCATAATTAAACAACGAAAACTATAATTTACGTTCGCAAACAAGTTAGATATAGTAAGATTTTAAAATATTCTTGTAAAGGGTTATTACAACTTTATTATCCAGTGTCACCAGGGAAGGAAGAGAAACATTGAATATAATTAAAAAAATGACCCTTTGATTGGTGGAAAATGTTTCTGTATTGATATTAAGGTGTCCAATATAATATAATATAATATATTAATATAATATAATATAATATAATATAATATAATATAATATAATATAATATAATATAATATAATATAATATTAGTCTTGGGTGGAAATGTTCCTATATCTATATTATTCGCTCTTTAAGGTCTCTTAGATAATATATATATATTTGTGATTGTGTATGAAGAAATAGGTTCGATATCAAAAACATGTTATCTCATTTTTTTTTATCAGGTCTAGTGGTACCATCGCGGGAGCGGTGATTGGAACAATAATTGGCATTGCAATTCTCATTGGACTATTGGTTTTCTTTTGCTGTATCAGACCACGCCGTATGGCGGCACGTGGCACAGTACTCCAACCAGCTGGAACCAATGTAGCAGTCGTTTCCACAACAACTGGTATAAATCTGAATATCTCATAATCTTTATAGGTTAACTCTTCTTATAGATTTCAAGAATCATTTTTTTAGCCAGGTCGTTCATGTCGTTAATGAACACAACATCTGAAGAGGTTTGTTAAAATTCTTCAAAAGAACTTCATGTATATACAGTATATGAATATGTTTGTCCCCAGTATAGTCATATTTAATTTTTTGCTTTTAAATGTACTAATTTATAAATATTGTAAAATCTGACAAAAAATATTACAGTTTGGAAATAGGTTATATGGATTTTTTTTTTTCTGAAGTCACAATCTATTTGTATATTCCATTAGTTGTTAGAGGACGAAATGGGCAAAATTTGTTCAATTTTAACAATGACAATCGACGGGACGTAAACCTGTCCAAAAATAATTTTCAGTTCAGTTACATGTATTTCATTTATATTTTAATTCTGCACGTAATATCTCAAGATTGGATTGGAGCAAATCTAGACTTTGCACTAGGTAATTCTTAATTAAAATATCAATGTAAAATACACCTTTCTCTCTAAAAATCACGGACATATTGAATTTACGTTATTGTCTTGTCGTCATATGTAATTTTGTTCAGATTTGACGAAGTAAATCGTTTCATAATAATGTCCTACAAATGAAAATAGCAGGGGAAATAACACACAAAGAGCAACAAATCAAAGAAAACAAAAATTTAAAGAACCAAAAAATAGTCGTATTTATTGACGTTTCTTTTTATTTATCTACAAGGTGTGCAATATGGAGGTGGTTATGTCAACACAGCTGGTAACCCCCCGGGGACTCAGCCTTCCTACCCACAGTATACATATCCTCCACAACAGCAAGATCCCCAGACTGGATACCAACCCCCTCCACCTTACAAATAAACTAAACAGTGGAAGAGTTCTGTGTGACTATCAACAAAGTACATGTATTGAACAATTACACTTGTGTAATCTCAATCATATGATTCATTTTATATCTATATAATATTGTCCGGTATATATTTTTATAGAATAACAAATCTGTAGACATTTACTACATTTTACTTACGTCATTAACAGAATCATCATTATTATACTGATTTGGCAGGTCTTATCTTGATATACTTTTTTGAGAGAAAGACGAAGAGGTGCAATGGAAAAAAAGTTTTCATTCTGATGTAAATATATTATTCATTTTCCTGTGCTAGTATTTTTTTTTCAATTTGAGTTGGCATGTTTTTGGAGAGTAAAAAACCCCATAAAGTTTGAAAGTAAAATGAAATGTGAAATGGATTATTCTATTAAAGAAAAAATTTCTTAATATTTTCATTGAATCTTCCTTAAAAAATCTATCAACTACATGGGTAAGAAATCTTATAATTCGAAGAAAAAAATTGAAATCATTTATGTGTACTTAAATTGAAACAGATTACACGACGTGCTGAAAGTTTCTGATACACTGTCTCCGAATAGCGTACATGATGTGTCTACTGTATACAGGGTTATCTTCGCCCTTTCACACTTGCAAACGATTTTGTCCCGTTTTAAATTCGCCCAGTCACATTTCTGTTTAAGAAATTAAATTATACTGTTTTCTTTGAATTCGCTCCGTTTTAAATTAGGCCTTCTGTGGGTAGTGCGAAACGGGTGAAAATAAAACGGTTGCGAAAATTTCCCTGTATACGGTATTAAAATCGGGCACAATTCTGCTTCGCGTGTACCTGGTGTCAATACTGTGTAAGAAATCTTAAATTTTTGAATGAAAATTGAAATTATTTACGTGTATTTAAATTATTGAAAACCGATGACACGACGTTCTGAAGTTTCTAATACATTGTCTCGAACAGCGTATCTATCAAAATCGGGCACAAGATTCTGTTTCATGTGCATCTGATGTAAACAAATGGCGGAAAGCAAACAGTTTGTTTGTTGAAATGTACTGTACGTACTTTTATATGACGTTCAATGATATTTGAATCATAGTTTTTCAATATGTTACTGACAGCGAAAAATAAAATGTTAAGGTGTTTAGCGAGATAAATTTTATACAGTTAGTTTGTGACCGTTCCCTCGCCCAGTATTGATTTCAAATTTACACCCTTGATGAGTCCGTATTAGGTCACACAAACTAATTGTGTAAACTAATAGTATATATTGCATAATAATTTGCATACTTTTCAAACGCTTGCCATTATGCTTGTTCTAATTTTGAATCTTGTTTTGTTAGTGTATCGTATAGTAAATTTATATCTGATTAAGATTTACTATGTTCATTTCCTTGATTGTATATTATACATTCATATGTTTAATTATATCTGTATGATTGCTGCGATAATACAGGTTAAAGCACAAGTTCTCCTTCCCTAACATTTTCAATGTTTTGGTGCATCAAAAGACGAAAATGTATCGAAGGTGTCCAGTTATTGGAGATGCATTGCCTGTGAGCACATTCAAATTCACCTAATTTAAGGGATATTTCTTTTAAGTGTCCTTATACTTTTTTTCGAAAAGCTTCATTGACTCAATTTTACACGTCTAGGAGAACCGGAATGAATACCTCACTTACAGAAAAAACAAGATGCTATTTATTCTGGTCAAAATTGATGAATATTGTCGATATAAGGGATATTTGTACAAGGTGTTAGATAACATCCGGGATCCCATATATTAGACATTCAACTTTGGTCAGGAGAGGGCTCTGGAAATGACCGGTTGACCGTCAAAAGAAATATAATTTATAAAATCTGCAACCCCTAAAGCTAGTCCGGTCCCAAAAGGCTAGAGTGTCTATAATATCGTTATAAGTGATGCATAATACAATGGGCAAGATACATTCAATATCCCATATTTAGACGTTATCTTTGGTCAGAAGAGGGCTTTTGGCCTGATTGGGTGACCATTAAAAGGAACTGAGTTTACTAGACCTCCAAACACTATAGCTAGTCCAGCCAAAAATGTCTAGATTGTGTATACTGCTGCTAAAAGGGATACACACACATGTAGTATAATTGGCTACATAACATCCAGGATCTCATATTTAAACCATTATCTTTAATCAGGAAAGAGCACTGAGAATGACCGGTTGACAATTAAAAGGAGCTGAGTTTACAAGACCTCTGACCCTTATACCTAGCCCGGTCAAAAACGGATAGAATGCAGATAATGCCGTTATTTGGGATGCATAGTACAAGGGGCTAGACAACATCCAATTTAGACATGCATCTTGTTGTTTAACGCATCGATTTGACCACTGCAATAATTCAACTCAAATATCAACTGCACAAAAGAAGACAAAAATACCTTTAACATAAATAATATAATTATGAAAATAAAAATATTTTTCAAGCTCATTACTTTGCCCTTGAATGGCTGCTTAATTTAGCCTTTTGAAGAGTGATCTTTGTTGATATACCTTAGCTGGAAGCAAAAGTCTAATACAGCGAATAATGACATTTTTTAGCCTAATTCAGATCTAATACTAATGCTTATCTGTCGTTAAAAAATGAATTTCCCGCGATGACCGAAAACGAAAGTAGAGATGCAAAAAAGTATTATAAATGAATGCTGATTCCCTCTTTTACTTTACTGAACGATGCCTAAAGTCTTCATCCTCTTCTAGAATACTTAATCTCCCCTTTTTTCGGCGGGGATTTTGGCGTAATTTCTCGTAACCAAAGTAATCACGGAGATTTGTGCACCTGTCGTTGTCAAACAATTGCTTGAAATCTGTGTAAACATCGGAAAAAAGCGTTTGAATGCTCCCAGTTCAAATGTGTGTATGGAGGGGTGGGTTGGTGGGTTGGTTAAGGGAGGTGGGTGTGAGGGATGTAGTTGGACAAGACTAGGACCGGACAGTTTGTTACCAATCAAAGATAGATTAATTATAATTATTATTTTCAAGACAGATTATTTGTATTCAAAATATGCCCCGTCCCCCAATCAGAATCAAATGATCACCCAATATTCTTAATTCCAAAGCAAATTGGATGACCTCTAGTTCCCGTACCCCCTTATATGCCTACCACTACTTCTATTCTTCATATAGGTATACAAATAACTTAATTTAAACCACCAGGTAACATGTATTATTTTGGTCTGCATACTGACATAATAATTGGCAGACAGTCAATATCAATATGAAGACCAGAGGTCATCGTAAGTGTTGATATTATGTAGAACTCATCAATATTGAAACGGAGATCAAAGGTCAACATAAAGGAGACCAGGGATCACCTAATTCGGAGACCGTAAGTTAATATCAACGAAAATCACAGGTCATCATTACAAAGACCAAAAGTTACCTACTATGGTATGTCGGAGACAAGTTGTCCATTATTGGCATGATTGTAGTTTTGATTTTTCAATACGAAAACAAGAAGTCACTCTATATGGGATACTTATATGCCCAGTGTTCATCTTATGTTTTACAATACGGAGACAAGAGGATACCTGATGTGGATAGTATATCACTAGGAAGACCAGTATTCATCTTATGCGATGTATCAATTAGAGGTCACCTAATGTGGTATATCAATACAGAGACAGTGACCATCAAATGTGCTACATTCTACTACGGCTATGCAAACATCACACAAATGCAGTGGCCGTTATTCCAATGATCATAACCGTCATCAACAAATTATTCAACAACTTTGAATAGGTTTCCTCTAACTGTACTCGGGATGTAGGCTTCTTTTGATTGCGACGCAAATTAGTGGGAATTACTTGGAAGAAAAGTTTCATTTGGGTTCGGATTACCTCGTGCTTTGTCTAATGCGTAAATTTCGCATTAATAAAAATAGCATCGGAATAATTTACTTGTTACACACGAATTGATGATGTGATACAGATATAGAGCATATATTATTTTGTAAGATTCGGTATTGGAACAGCTCCCTTAACATCTAGCAGTGGTACTCTAATTCATTTTTATAAATTAAATCCTATATGTATACATCTGTATATCCATAAATCTTTTTAACAAATGAATCCGACCTTTACTAAGCAATTTATAAGAAAAACGAAAAATTGCACCAAAATTATGTAATATCGTTTAACATGAATAAAATTAAAACTGGAAAATAATTTAGCTTGCTTAAACTTTTCATATGGTCCAGTCTTGTATTTCAAGTTGAAGACTACACCTTGTATTCTTACAAATATACATCGACCATTGCTTTCAAACATTTTAATTACAAGAAAACTCTACAGCACCTGGATATCGAATACCTGAAACATAATCCTCTTTCGTGTTCATGTTCTTTTTCACCCTATATTTATAGTCCTGTTGGACACGTTATTACTTTTGAAGTAAATATAGTTAATAATGAAGACCTTAGATCACTAATTTTAAAAGGTCCTAAATATAGGGAACCCTGATCCCTTAACTGGCGTCGTAATTTCATACATATTATGAATTATGTAGAGGATTACGCCAGGCGTTGAGTAAAAGAAGACCTTGACATTTTTTTAAGAATGGATTAAATATTTCAGATATATGTTAAAATCAAACGATTGAGGGACAGTATAAAAATCATCTATATTCTGTATTTAATAATTCAGAAGTGAAAAAAGAATTAGATAGAGTGCACGATCAGTATGATCAATTAGCCTCCGTTATTTTTATCTCTTTCTCCAATCCAAAATCTGTGTGACTAACTGGACGGTGGGGGTTAAAGGCGTCGGAATGTCCCTGCTTCTCTCGGTCAACTAAGAGCTGCCCTGTAGGAAGGGTTGAATAATATCCCTTTGAGAAAGATAAATGTACTGATGAACTCCATACAGAGGTGAATCAAGACTGTAACGAATGCGCGAGGGAGATAACATTTTTTATTTTCACTTTTTGGGGGATATGAATTTCAATAACCCATGAATTATCAATGAAAAACAAGTGAGCTTTTGGAAACTTGTTGATAGTTGATGATCTTAAATGTTAAATAACAATACTAGAAAATATGCTCGAAAAAATATATCTAATTCACCTCAAAAGTGTACCCTGCATTTCCTCTCCATTCAGTATAGATATGAAGAGTAATTTAATCACATATATTGTTCAAGTTATTGAAGAAAATCATCTCTTTATCGCTACCGGCCACGGTAGCCTAGTGGTAAGGTGTTCGCTTCATGATTGGGAGGCCCGAGTTCGATTCTCGTTCGCCGTACCGCGTCAAACCTAAGACTGTTCCTTCGCCAAGCGCCCGGC